GTGGAAGCTATTCCACCCTCTAAATCTTTCTGATATGCCTGAAGTAACCGTTATGGGGGTGCGGAGGGAAGGCCTGATATTCATAAGTTTCTCTATCAGGCACGAGGTGGTATTCCACCCTCTCACTGTGTGGTGAAAACTGTTGTGGATGGTTGGCGTTTGTGACGTGCCGCAAAAACAAAGGGGGGATTCAATCAACATGTACTGACTAGCATGTGTATGCGTACTGACTATATTGGTAGAACTAGCTGAACAAAACAGGTTGGGGTTGGCGTGTTCGATTTTTGCGAGTGTTTGTAACAATAAACGCTCACTCTCGGTCTTGCACTAAGAAGAAGGCTTTTTTTTCGAGAGTATCAGAGTCTGTTAACATTCAGGTGTTCTATACTAGGAATGCGCACGCGCATATTATGCCTCGCGCCTGCCAGCCAATGCGTAAACAGTCCAACTGAGGCCGCTCGTGCGCGCGCTCTACTGACTGCGCGCGAAGCCAGACTTCCTACGAATCTGCGCGCACGACGAAAGCTAGGCTTGTTACGAATTACGGAAGTTGACATTCCTAAGCGTGACTAATTGACATTCTTAAGCATGACCGACACGTACGTACGTACGCATATCGCGAGAATATATACAACCCGGAGTGGTAGCCTCGCGCTAATGCGCTCGGCAATAATGGGTAGGCAGTATCGAACGTTAGACACACACGTGAAGTTATGGCAGCTGTAAGAGTGTAGTACATATCTACAGCAATGTAGATCGCCAACAGACCGGGCGTCACTTTACACTCAAGACCATCTTTACAAAATAAGTAGTCAGAGTATGTAGTTATCCAAAGTCAGAAAGGATGGGCTCAAATACACTTAAGAGTTGTAACCAGAGCGAGCGTCAAAGCTAGTGTGTCGTGGACTACCTCTGGAGCTAAAAGAGTTTTTCCATCGACCCTCTCTGTTTTGCTTCCTACTTGCAATGTGATAGGCTCTGAGAAAACAACACTTATTGTGGGAGTTTGAGTATATACCAGTACTTAGTTCTGATAAGGTGTGGAGTTGTTAACAGTACACAACCCCACATCTTGCAAGGATGTATTGGTTGATATTTTTCTACAGGTCAATGGTGTTTTCATGTTTGCGGCATTAGCCTGCCTCACTTCAATTTTCATTGGAATTTCAGGTATGTGCTGACCAATGCACTATTGTACATGTTTAGTGAAGGTACTGACTAGTTATACTACACACCAGTTGAAACATGTTCAATACCATGTCATTCATTATGTTGTGTATGAGGGGAAAGTCCAGAGTGATAATGTGCATAATGCACACAGCGAAATGGCATTGCATGGCAGTTTGCCATGTCCTGTAATGGACTTCCTCTTTCCTTGCAACATTGTGTAGTAACATTATTCCACCAATTTCCTGTTACTTTTACATACTCTTTTGTGACGTGTAGTATTGTAAACTACGCTTTATTTTTAACAAGATGCTCAAGTGTCAGCAGTGGCTAGTTTCAATGACCCGAGATGTGATGGGCAGATGGTGTGTCCAAATGACCCTCTTCTCTTCACTTGTACTGTCACTGAAAGTCCTTCGGTCTGCTGAAGTAACACTACCCTCTGGAGTGGGAGTACAAGTCACTAGTGACAACATGACACAAGTAGTTGGAGCTCCTCTACCAGATGGAGTGACTGTACAGTCTCACAATTCAGTAGTGGATGGAGGACTAGTAAACTACACACTAACACTGGCTATCGAGAGAGCCTCGCTGTTGGGTAGCAATCCCGTCATATGTGATGCTAGAACTGTGTCACCGTTGACAGACGAGAAATCATGTCCAATAGCCACAGGTATATACAGCATTTCAATGTGATACAAGACCCACCATTGAACATTATACATCACTGCAGACCCAGGTCCACCAGAGTCTCTGAGTCAGAATGTATCAGCCAACACTGAGACATCAGCAGTGGTGCAGTGGGGGTCTCCAGCCATGACTGGAGGCAGTGGAGTGACCATCAGTGAATATAGCAGTGACTGTTGATGGTGGGATGAACCAGACTGTCAGCCATGATGATAGTGGAGATGTCTTCACTGCCACCATTACTGTACCACAGTTCAACACCAGCTACAGTGTGTCAGTGACTGCCATCAACTCTTGTGGTCTCTCCAGTCAGCCTGCCACCACCACTGTCCTCAGAGAAGCGAGAGGTACAGTATGTAGAATCCCTAGGAGGTATCTTGCTGGTTTATTTCTGCCCGACGCCTCGAGAGTATTTAAATGTGGCAGACAAAACTGAGGAGTAGGTTATCTTTCTTCACGAGAGTACAAACGAACTCAGGATGGCTTTTAATGGTGGAAGAGTGAATGTATTCATTGTTTCCACCTAAGGAGAAGTGCTTCAAAGAGCCAACTGCGTCTGTTTGCTGCAACCTAGTCGCTTGTAAGCAGCCTCGTGTTGTAGGAGTATAGCATTGCGCAACGTCTCCCTTTTTCTCAACACAGCTCTATAGCTATAAAAGAAACTTAGCAAAATGCATTATAATGTGTATGTACATATGCTAAGCTGTGACGCATGAAATTGTCCTCTCTTGGTTTATGGTAAAGTGGTATGGAACAGTTCACATGGTCTATGTGTTCAAATGCAGCTGCATCTAAAATTTGTTTGCTCCTGGTTATGCACTGTCCAGACATTGTTGGCAGGCGGGAGCGACCCAATAGCCCAGTTGCACGTAAGGCGATCGGAATTCATTAATGTTTTAATTGCCCATGACGTCACGGCTGGGGTCCCGTTTCTCCGCGTTTTTGTATGGGCAATATAGGACTTGCGTTTTAAAACTCGCGCTACGCAAACGTTATACCGTATTTCTTTTTAAGTGAAGCATCACGAAAAATTTAACTCCAGACCTACCGGTAGTACTTCGAGCCGAGAGCGTAGCACTTACCGTTCACGAGAAACGTGAGGTCCTTCGCGTATGGCTACGGGTATCCAGCAAGTCACGTTGTCTCCAGCCGATATTCCTGGAGCAGACCTCTCTGAGCCCTTTAATAGGCATACTGTACCTGATTTGCGCTGTACCTGATCACTCACTGGTAATTTCTGTATCAAGCACTGCACTAGCTATGTACCTGTTTACTAGTTGCTTTTTCCCCTAAGAAGTAGGAGCTTTAATGCCTCTACAGAGCAGCCACCAGCGCAAATCAGGTACAGTATGCCTATTAAAGGGCTCAGAGAGGTCTGCTCCAGGAATATCGGCTGGAAACAACGTGACTTGCTGGATACCCGTAGCCATATGCGAAGGACCTCACGTTTCTCGTGAACGGTAAGTGCTACGCTCTCGGTTCGGGTAGGTCTGGAGTTTAACTTTTCGTGATGCTTCACTTAAAAAGAAATACGGTATAACGTTTGCGTAGTGCGAGTTTTAAAACGCAAGTCCTATATTGCCCATACAAAAACGCGGAGAAACGGGACCCCAGCCGTGACGTCACGGGCAATTAAAACGTTACTCTACATTCCAACGCTTACGTGCAACTGGGCTATTGGTGCAGGGCTGAGCCTGTGTTGTGTTTCTGGTTTATAAAGTGGTCCAAACAAATGGACGTTATCATGTGTAGAAGGTTGCACAGTCTGAGAAAGGTCAATTCGTTCAGTCCTGACACATGTTGTGCCAACCAGTAGCGTGCCTCCCTTGTTTAAGTTGCACGCCGTGCGCCTTGGTGTCGCGTCCGGCATCGGGACAAGCGTGTTTCCCGCTCTCTTCGACTGTTTCTGATGCACGCTACATGTTGGATTCTGCCGGCTCTGTCTCGATAGTCACTGCTCTCGAGCTACCTCGCTTTCGGCTGTGCGATGACTCTCTCATGGTTAGCGCCAGCGCTGGTATTCCCAGTGTCTGGTGGTCTAGTGTAGAGCTCAGCTTTGACTTTGCTCTGTGGTAGTAGTGAGGGATCTCTCAGCATCCAGAACGGTGTACATGACAGGTCATCCTGTCACATCGTGGTCTGTGAGTGAGGCAGCCCACACACCTATCCTGTGCTGCACATTGTTTGTATATAGAGGATTTTACGTACATACCTAAAAAGGAAAATGTGTTTTTTCGCTCTCCTGTACTATCTAGTACCACCTCGGCCACAATCAGTGTCTCTTTCGATGGAGTGCAGCGTGAGCCGTGTTAGATCCGTTAACATCAGCTGGATGGTAAGTCTGATGGTGACTTGTACATGTGGGAGCATTGTCACTGTATGTACATATATCAACATCCAGGATGGAATGAGAGAAGATGGTATAATGTATCCAGGGGAGCAAACGACTATGGTGGTGCTGACTCCTGGTAACATTGAGTGCACTGTTGCTGGCACCAGATGTACTGCCAGTATCACTGAGGATGACAACTACACTTTTAATCTCACTCTCAACAACAATATTGGCTCATCTGCGCCAGTGATTGACTCATTTAACTGTAAGTCAATAAAGCACCAAGGAATTACGTTAGCATTCCGATCCCACGTTTGGACCAATGAAATTGTGCGATTTCAAATTACTTGTATCTAATTTACCTTCTCCTTTCTCCAGCTGAAATTCTGTTTTCTGACGAAACCCTAAACTCTTTACCCTCAAGTGTGAACATAACTGTGAATCGTTTCTGTGCCACTGATGGCAAACTGTTTCAAATCACAGTTAGATTTGGAGTAACAACAGATACTAGGGGTAGCTGTTCATATATGGGTGCCAGTAAAACTGAAAATTATTCATCTAATGGAAATCAATTTTCCCCTAATTTCACTCTGACAACTGGAGAGAGTTTCTGCTACATGGCTAACCTTACCATTGATGGGAGAAATGTTGCTAGTAAGTGATGTATTTGTGGTCAAACAGCCTTACATTACTGCCTTGTGCAGGTCTCAATGGCTCTGGTGACACAACTCCTACTGAATCACCTACCCCTGACCCTAACCACAGGAATGTTGGTGCCATTATCGGCGGAGTGGTTTGCCAGCGTCTTTTGATCATTGTGGTTATTGCAATTGTATTGATAGTGGTTTTCGTGATTCAAAAAAACAAACGTAAGTTACTATTAATTAGCACTTAGTGATATTTGTTGGTTTGTATGGCAATTACACTGTGTGGGTTTTGTGGTATTTGTTGCTGTGAGCAGAACTAGTCCAAAACACCCTACTGCAGTATAGTTATTCAAATACAACTCATAAAACAAGTGGAGTATGGCAGTTGGAGTCACAGTAGCCTCCTTACTGTGGTTACACATTGTTCTGAACCTATGGTAACATTGGCTTTTTCTTTTCTACCAGGTCCGAAAGAAAGCCAAGAAATCCCACTAAAGTTAGCTATTGTATTTTTATATGAAGAATTCATGTCCACTCGTTTACACTGTAAACCTCTACTAACCCCAAACCTTATTTTACCAGCAAGACGACCAAACCTGCTCCAATTTCCAGTGCAACTATGTCCTTTACAATATGTACATAGGCCAACACACCCAGAAGAAGGTGGTCAGGAGGCAGGCTCCATTGCCCGCACAGCTCATCCTGAAACTGGGGAGATCTACACTGAAGTCAGCAAGCCAAGAAATACTGAGCAGGTGAACTCTGCCCCCTTGTACATACATAGTCTTCAGTAGCCAAGCCTAATTGCTGTTGATAATGGATGCCAGTTACAAAGCCTTGTATGCAACTCAACCGCAATGTATGTGCACACTTCATACCTGTCTCTCCCCTAGGCCCCTACCACCATTGAACATCATGAAGGACCCAGCGGAGACCTGTATGCCATGCCACTGACATCAGGGAAGAAAGGGAAGAAGGACAAGAAGAAAGGGAAGGGGAGAGAGGTGGAAGCAGAACAGCAGGAGCTGACAGAGGAGGAGAAGGCTGCCATGTACTCTGTCCCTGACAAGAAGGGACAAAAGGCCAGAAGTGAAGGGGTCAGCAATAAACTTTTATAGTACTCGTGTGTGTCCGTGTCCATGGTGCTTCTGGCTTGAGGGCTACATGGCAGCCAATGAGTGACACCAGTGGCTTTGGGTTAAAATAAATAATGGTGATTTTCCTGGAAATAGCAATACTGACAATCAATACTGGGCTTGTACCTTAGAACCCATTGAGGAGGTTATTCCGAGTACCTACTGATGCTGTTAGAGTGATAAACTCTCCGTCAATGTGTTAGACAGTGTGGCTTATGTTGCCAGGTTTATCAATGTGTGCGCGTGCATGCGTATTGTGCATATGATACTAATAACACACAATTGTGCTGATTGTTAACCCTCGGCATGCATGCACAGTGAGGCTTACGGTTGTTGTCGTGTCTGCCTGTGAGTCCGTTCCATGACATCTCACTCCACGAGCCATCAATTGCTCCACAAATAATGCCAGGTATTCAGCATCGGATAAAGGTCAATGTATGTAGGTTTTTTTCTGAAACTCCTGCATTCTAGAGTTACGGCATGAAAACCAAGTAAACGAGCTAGTATGCAAATTTGCACTGGCTTACCTCGACCAGATACGCTTGCTCTGCGTACCTCGGAGGCACAGGAAGTCACAACGAAGGGCGTGTATCGACTCCCGCATGCTATCCACTACTGTAGCTAGCCCGCGTCTGACTCTCCGCGAGCTACTAGTGGGAGACCACGAGTAAATACTTGCTCTTGGCCCAAGCCATCAATAATGCTCTTCATCATTCACATGGTAGTCAGTAGTAATTGAAGTGCTTGAAGCAAGACTACAAATGGTCTAAGCATGGCTGTCATTCTGTTTTTTTCTACCCACTCTGTAAAGGCACTTTAGACATATTATGTACTGCCTGTTGTGTGTTACTTTGCCTCGTGCCACTACAGTAATAATATGTGAGTTTTGGCCCTAGGGGAATGCCTGCACTCATGACATCTTTTCCTGTGTTATTGTGTCAACCATTCCATATTATGTACGTAAACATTGCCCCAATATGGCCTGAGCAATGGCTAACTTGCTCATAATAGCCTGACCATGATTTCCCAGTGTATGAAAGCCAGATAGTGTCTTGTGACACAAGGACCTGGTGACATCAAGCCTGTAATTCTCTGAGTCAACCTTTGAGACTGAAGGGGAATTTGGAATGTGGCAACATAATTATAAGGACTAAATTTACTAAAGAAGGAAACCTAGTGTACTGGATACTATTGTTTAGTTCCCTCATTACTAAATTTAGCCCTAACTTACCCATTCCATACGCTGTACTCCTTTAGACCTAACCATAATTATTCACACTTCTGACCATTGACACTTGACCACACACAGGGAAAACTTTCATATTTCGTAAAGTTTTCTTGGCAACTTTTTCTGTCAGAAATCTATTTGTTCATTCAGACAAGCATGTTGTATCAAGTGGTTTGCACCACTTGATACAACTCACCCAACTCACCACTTGATTAACTCACCCACATTTCTCCTTGACCTTACCATGTGATTGCACTGTACTTGCATTCATAATTATGTGCCCAAATTATGTCGCTAGTCCATTAAGTATGTGGTGAAGATTGTTCTAATCTCTCTACAGTTGAACTATGCTGAGCTGGCCCTCCAGTCCAGCGCCAAGCCAGCCCCTCCCTCCCAGGGATCTTACTATACTGACATCAGGCTTGAGAACTGAACAAGACTCATTTTAACTGCTTGAACGATGATGTGTGCACTTGTACAGAACACTGTAGAGTAGGATACTCTAGTGTATTTGAGTGACTTCTGTAAAAATGTTTTATGTATGCTGTGTTTATGCGACCCAATCCGCCGGAATTTCTCTTTTGCATGTGAAACGCAAGTGCTACATTTGTGCATCTTTGTGATGTGAATTCTTTGTGTAAAAGGTGGTGGTAGTCTTTCCCTGTCTGGTGCACAAGGTGGTGCACCATGTATTTCGAGTTAACAGATACTGTGACGGTCCAACTGGGTGTACATACACATAGTGTGCCCTTACAGGGTATATACTTGTGTGGGTTCAAATCCCACCCAGAGTCACTCTTTTCCCTGTCGTGGGTGTCGCGTTGTTTGCTTTACCGTGAGACGGTGTTGACACATGCTTGCTTGGGGCCGGAGGTTTTATCACTCTGCTACCCTTCACATTTTGCTACATGTTGAACTGTGTGTGTCTGCAATGACCATACCTTGCTTGATTGTGTAATGGTTTTAAATTATTTCTAGCACCACCACATTTGTCTGATGTTTCTGTGGAGTTCAGTTGTGATGCAACTTCGGAGGACCCTATACCTGTGACAATCAACTGGATGGTAAGCATTAGGTTTTGATTCTGATGTTAATCCTGTATGTTGTACGTATATAGTATGGAGATAGGGAGGAGGGAGTGATATATCCTGGGGAAGTTAATGTTCAAGTGGAACTATTTCCAACCAAGACATTTTGTCTCAGAGACACTGCCACCAGCTGCACTACTAACAGTGCTAGAAATGATGCCCTGGACATAACTATCACACAAACCAATCACATAGGCTCAACGCAGGATTTTCACACTTTTGACTGTGAGTGAACAATAATTATTCTTTTCCTGTTTCCCTTCACCAGATGTATGTACAATAGTGCAAATTTTGGCTGTGGAGGAGCAAATATTACGACTGGACACACAATTGCTTGTCGTGGTAGTGAGGTTGAACAGACTTTGTCCACAGTCACCGGTTCTGGTGACATTTGGATCCAGGGTAGTGGCTGGAGGACAATGTCAGGGTCAGAAGAATGCAACTGAAATGGTCATCATTTCCGGAGCCTCTGCCTCCTTTTACATCAATACTTCGAACATCTCATTGGGCACAGATGAGACATATTGTTTTTTAGTCAGCGTGGATGGAGTGGTCGGTGAGTTTTTAGTATAGCACATAAGTACACAGCTGCATCGTTACTCCTTCAATAATTTTGTCTTAGTGATATCTGGAGCTAGTGGTGACGATGACCCTACTGCTACTACTGTCAATGTCCAAGACTGTGATGACAGTTGTCTATCAGTGGGAGCTGTTGTTGGGGTAGCTATTGTCCTACTGGTAGTAGGAGTACTAGTGGGTTTGGTCATCGGCTGCTGTGGAATGTGGTGTCTGATGAGGAAGAAGGGAGGCTACAGCCCGTCAGGTGGTGAGGGGGAGAAGGAGAGGGAGTTGGCGGAGGAGATGTACGAAGAGCCAGTGGCAGCTGGTCCAGGGGAGACTGCCTTCTCTGTCTCTGACAACCAAGCATACGGCCAAGTCACCTCTAGGCAAGGAGGCAGGTGAATGTATCTGCTAACATGTAGGAAGTTGAAACTCACTCTGAACCTTCAGTTTAACATTAGTAGCCTAGTATTATTATATATAGTGGTGTGTGAAATTCCCTAATGTATGCAGGCTTGCTTTGCTTGCTAATTTTTCATAGAGAATAATATTGAAGTAGCCGGTACACACACATACACACACACAGAAATGGGCACACATGACAACCTACCAACCAACCGTGTCACGCTCAAACACTTGCCTATGGGCAGGTGTGTAAGCAGCCAATCATGTCAATGTTGTTTGTCTCTGTGCATTCCACCAGGAGTCTTTCATACTCCGTGCACATGCCCAAGGGCCTTACGCTTTTCACAACAAACTGAAGTTACACGTTCAGTGATTCCTAAGCATGATCATGAGGGACACATACGTATGTGTATTGGGGAGAATTGAACCTGGATTATATATAGTTGGCGTATTTCTTGAGATCGCTTAACTTACTTAGAAAAATAAAGAAAGTGGTTTTACACCCAATAATTTTGAAAAGCCTACGATACAATAAAAATGTTCACAAGAGACAGTTCTAAGGTGATTTGTGGGCTGAAGAGAGAGGTGGTGATGCGTTGTACGAAACATTGTCGTCAGTCAGGATGACCACACCCCCTGGAGGGATAGCCACACCTCCTGGAGAGGGCAGGGCGTAAGGTGCTGGATTAGTTGGCGTATCTTGAGATCGCTAAAATTACACTTACTTAGAAGAATAAACCAATAATTTTGAAAAGCCTACGATACAATAAAAATGTTCACAGAAGACAGTTCTAAGGTGATTTGTGAGGAGAGTCAACTGAAGAGAGAGGTGGTGATGCGTTGTACGAAACATTGTCGTCAGTCAGGATGACCACACCCCTGGAGGGATAGCTGGAGAGGGCAGGGCATAAGGTGCAGCCACACCCTCTGAAGGGGGTGGGGCATGAGACGACGCCACATGTTCGTAAGGCTGGGCATACTGGAGACACTGTGTCTGTGTGGGTGACAGCTGCCTCGGGTCCTTGAGAGATGCATACATGTGCTCCTCGTTACTCTGTCTCGTCACCTGCTGGCCGGGCGGGGCCCCATACTGTGGGTTGGGTGTGGCTCCGTTTGCTCCGCCCACAGCTCCGTACTTGGGGTTGGCAGCAAGTTTGGCGGCCCTGCGAGAGGCAGCGACCTCCTCGTAGAGAGGAGGACGGACGTGTGAGGGAAGAGTGATGGAGTCTCCATTGGCCGCTCCGTGGGGGATTGAGGGGAGAGGGGGGTCAAAGGTTGGAGCCCCAGCATCACCATAGAGTGGGTTGAAGCTCATTTCTTTGATGGTTCCCGAGACGTGGGGGGGAGGTACTTGTTTGTAGTCATGGGAATATGCTGGGGAGGCAGGGGAGCGGGGGACAAGGAGTCCTCGTGGTAGAGTACTGTGTCTCCTCATTCGGTGCTCTGTGGGGAGAATCAAACAATACATAATGTGAGAGCAGAATAATATTATTGTGGAGAGAATGTTAGAAAGAGAGGAACTAACTGGAGGACTGTCTGCAGCAGACACAGAATCCAACAAACATGACACAGAGAGCCAGAACTGCCACACCCACTCCGGCTGGTATGACCCACTGCAGCAGACCTGGAGGACCATAATCTGGTGACTGATGACCACACACTAGTAGTCGACTCACCAGTGAGGTCAGAGGTCGAGGAAGAAGGTTCAGTAGTCGGGTCTGAGGTGGGTGTGGCACTTGGTGAGCTGGTGACTGGTGTGTCCGGTGTGTCTGTGTACAGTGCTTTTGTGTGTGCATGTGGTATGTGTACGTGTGTGTGTGTGTGCGTGTGTGTGGGAGGGGAAGAAAGAGGGAAAATATTAATGGGGAGAGAAAATGGTACACCCAGCATCTTGCATTAACCCGATCCTCACCATAACTGGTGACGTCAGTCTCATCAGTGGTAGGGGTTGGATCACCTTCATCAGAGACCTCACCACGGACCTCTAGTGGATTGTCAACTCCCAGATCCCTGCCTGTCACTGACTGGGGAACCCCTCCAATTGAGGAATAATGAATCACCTCAACTGCTCCCTCTTCCCTGAGACACACACACATACACATTACACCACAGAGAGGTGAGAGGATAGAGACACCTGTCGATGTTGATGTTAGTGGTAGTGGAGCTGTCCAGAACCAGAGACACCAGGCAGCCAGAGGAGAGAGAGCCGGTGGCAAAGACACATGTGATCCTGGCTGTCCCATTGACATAGTGGAACACTGCCACACTCTGGAGACCTGAGGTGACTGTAGAGAGAGGCAGATAAACCCCAGACCACACCCACCAGTGACTCCACGCACCAAATGAGACCTCTGTTGTCACGGGATCATCCACGGAGAACTGGAAATGGTTGCTGGCAGACAGCGTGGCTGAGTAGTGAGAGTTCTCCTTCAGACCAGTCACCTCAGCCACCATCGCTGACTCTGACCCAGTCACCTGGACTGGTACCACCTCCTCTGGTCCTCCCTCCTCAGAGAGGGTCAGGGTGTAGTTGAGAGGGAAACAGGACTCGGGCCTCTGAACAAGGGAGGAGAAGAGAAGGGAAGAATGATTCAAGACTTTCGAAAGTAGCCCACGACACCTTTGCAGGCATAATTTCCACTCCTCAACATTTCACAAATCACAACAACAGAGACCAATGCACATGAGGAACGAACCTGGAAGGAAAGTCTGAGAACAGCTCTGGAGTCAGAGAGCTGTTGGCTGTTGTGAGAGACTTCAGTTGTTACTGCCCCTAGCGGACCTGGAGCTGTCAGAGAGAGACACATAGGGAAAAAGATATAACAAAGTGAAACTGCTACTGAATGGGGTATATACATGTAAGAGCTTTGCCAGCACTTCTGTCCACCCCATATACCAGTATCGCAGCCCAAAAAAACTCTCAAAGATCTTAATTTTGTCCCTCAAAAGTTCCCAGCTACAGTACGGTGTATGAGGTATAGCTTACCAGAGGGATGTAAGGCAGGAGTAGAGGAGGAGGAGTTGAGAGAGAGACCGACATCATTGAGAGAGAAGACAGAGAAGGAGTAGAGGTGGCAGTCTAGTGCCTGTCTCTCTGAGATCTGGTGGGTGAAGCTGGTGTCGTTCAGAGGTCCCAGTGAGGAGGTGAATCCTGTGGCCTCGTCAGTGACCAGAAGAGAGTAGGAGATGAGTTCTCCTGGTAGAGAGAAGGGAGGAGTCCAGGTCACTCTCAGCTGGTGGACCCTCTCTCCCACCACCTCCACTTCTCCTGGAGCCAGAGGGAGACCTGGAGGGGGGGAGACAAGAAAACACTGTTGGGACAAGCCTTTTGTTCCCTAGTTCCATGTGTCCTTTAGTAGAGTAATATCATTATGTACTACATGAACGTGACAGGAGGTGCTCATTATTTAGAGTCTCTCGGGTATAGGGCAAATGTACATATGAACTGAGCTTCACTTGCGGCTTGTTTTGTTCTGTGTCATCATCTCAGTTGTCAGACCTGCCATTAGTTATAAATAACATGCTATGCATCTTCTGCTAGTTTTCTGTAAACATTGAAAGTCACTAATAGGCATGTGTAACAACAAAGTCAAGGGCAACAAACTTGTCATTGAGTAAAAATGAACAAAAGTCACATGTGTAACAAGAAACAAACTTTAGCAGCAGCAAAGTTCATGGCAACAAACTCGTAATTAAATGACATGGTAAACGTGCACAGAAGTTTTGAAAGAACAAATCACAATTCAATGTACAATGAAGGTTCAACCATTATGAGGTGAGGTGGTAGAAAGGGGAGGAGGCCTCCCTTCAAGACAGTACATAGTTTATCAGGAGACCAATGGAATGTTATCTGATAATCTGTGGTATGCAGCGGAACCACAACAACAGGACTTTGTCTCACCATCTAACATGTAACATGTAAACTCCACTATCTGATGTGTATATACTAGGACAGTGGGTGGAGGGGAACAATGGTTGTTTGAGGGGGAAAACTGACATTCCACTGGGTGTGTGTGTTGTTCCATCAGGCCAGGGTATTATATACAATGTATGATGTAATTGCCAACACTGTGTGGCGGATAAGAACTGCTGAAAGTGGTTGATATGCTAGTCTGTACCATCAGAAGAGGAAAAGTCTTGTTAATTGTGTTCAGTCATATAGCTAACGTACTGTCACGTAATCGCATGACCACAGAGTACGAAGCTCTGTGCTACACAAGCAGATCCAATTGGCAATGGACCATCACCGCCGCACACAGAGATGATTATGACAAACACTACATTGTATATAGCTCCCTTTTGTTTTGAGTTTGAAAAAATTCCCCCCTACAAAACTGCAGACATTTCAGTATATAGTGTGTGTGTAATGTTGGTGGAAATAGCAGGCAGTGTGGAAAAGTTGCCTGGCAACCAGAGAGGATGTGTCCCTCCTACAGAGGAACTGGTGGACACATGGTAGTTACTAGGTGTAGATCATGGAATGTGTATACCCAGCATGGTTGTCATGTACTATCTTTGTATGGAGCCCTAGGGTAAGCAGGTATATACAGCCGTGTGAGTAGGCACATTGTGTACACAGTCTAGAGACTCTTGTTAACACCATGTATTATACTACAGCGGCATGTGCAACACAGCCACCTATCCATAATGTCATCATTACCCAAAGCATCCTGATGGGAAGGTGTGTCCAGCGGGTAAAAAGCTAACAGTAGTGGTTTTAAAATTCCGAAATCCAGCCCCTTTAACATCCCACCACCATCATCAGAAAGGAGTTGTAATGTATCCTCAACTGTAAGAACCACTTAGCAAGAAACATCCTACGCTACTAACCTGGAAACAAATCATTGCTAATCAATAAGGCAGAAAAGGCGCTGGAAAAAGGAAAAGGCGATGCCAGGAATCAAACTCAGGACCATACTTGGTCCACAGTGTGGCAGCTTTCTGCGAATGCATGCCACAATCTGAGTGTTGCTTATGCCAAGGTTTGCGCACTGCAGGTAGTAAACTGCCTCTGCATGTCCAGTACACTGCAATTATGATATGTCGAGATAACAGGCTGCTAAAGAAGATCAATCTTGAGATGGAGTAAGATGAAACACTAGAGGCCACTATGAGAAGCTCAACTGTATGTACAATGTACCAACACACCACAGCTGTAGAGTGCTGAGTTAGCCCCCCTTCCCGATGTCTTCATTACAACCTTGTGTGGGAAACTACCACAAATCACCACATCACTAGCTCTGCCCCCATACAGTACAATACATCAATCGCTGCAAACTCCAGACACCACAGTAGTAAGTAACACACAACAGTCGCAGCTACTAACCGTAGACAGTGAAGGTGATGGTCTCTCCATCCTGCAGGTCAAACTGAGTTGGTCCAGCCTGACAGAGAATGGCCTCAACTGACTCATTGACATGGAGTGTGCCGGGAATGGTGATGGTGATCCTAGTTCCTCCAGGAACAGCCTCGGGCCCTCCCACCTCCAGTATGAACCCATTCTGTTGGAGGGACCCAATGGCAACTTCGTCAAACAGTTGTCTGTCGTTAATTCTCCACACCAGCTCCGGCTGGTCAGTCACACACTCCAGAGATACATTAGAGCCAAGAGGAGCTGTCACATTCTCAGGGTAGACTAAGAACACTACACTCGGAAGTGAGAAGAGAGGGGGAGGGTGGAAAGAAAATGTTTAGTGAACCTACTCAGTTGAAAAGAGAGGGGGACACAGAATCAGGTGATGGGCGGGGAGATACATACTGCACATACATGTACATATACTAAATTTGATTCCAAACATGGCATATTTGGTCACCTGTAATACTAAACATCACACCCTCGGAGAGGTTTTGGAAATTGGCTCAGTAAGTAGTGTAAGGCCCAGTACTGACAAGCCAGTGAGAAAAACAAGGCATTGTTCAAAGGGGGGAGGTGCTCGTACCGCGACTGAAATTCATGCCGCAGAAACGCTAGCCGCGTCAATTACTGAGTATATGCGCTGACAGAGCAAACACTAAGTAGCTAGTTGAGCTATACAGAGTCCACCAAGCCCAGATCTTCAAACTAAAATCGCTAGAGCTGGACTTACATACCAGGCATTTGCGCAGAGACGAGAAGAGGTAGAGCTAGCAGCAGTAGTGGTAGCAGAGGTGGAGTGGTAAGGGCAGGGCTGGAGAGACCAGATCCTACTACCAGCCGCATCTTCATCAACCACCACTCATTAGCTAGGAAAACCACACACGAGATCGATGATCCTTGTTTTTGGGGGGCGCAGCTGGAAATATACGGATAGAGTTTGTGTCCGCATTTTCTACGTTTCCGGAGACCACACCCTGTAGAGGAATTTGATCTTCAACAGAGCCTGTGTGCTGGTCGATTCGTAGCTAGCTGTGTGTACAACTAGTGAGTGATCATTCTGGAGGATGGGTGTAAAAGAGAAGTCTCGTCACGCTAGTCGCTTCTCTTTGCTTGCTAACCTGCATTTCAGCTGAGGATTCAGCCAGTGAGTGGCGTGCTAGTTGCGGCTAATGGCGCCTAGGGAAGAGAGGGAGTAACGCACCTCCTTGTCAGTGAATGTGGTTGTGTGACTGCAGGTATCTCGGAGGCGGAGGGCAACTTGTGTGTGACAGTCAATGTCACAACAGAGGAGGCCAGCTACACCTGCACCAGTGAGCAGGACCTCATTCTGTGGAGAGTTGGTTCACGACAGATAGCTGGGACCACTGGGACTGTGGTTGAGGTGAATGGAGTACAGGTCAACACCACAACCATACCGGGAGAAGGCTACAGCTCTACCATTGTCTTCACTCCCACCTTCCTGGAGGACATGGCTGATGGCTCAGAGATAGAGGTGGCCTGTCTGGTACAGATAGGACTGTTCCAGATCATTGAGGCTGACACCAGGACCCTCGTGGTGTTCAGTGAGTTACACCCACTGAAAGAGAGGGAGAGAGTGTTGGGAGGGGCTGTAGCTGAGCCCAGCTCAGTAAACAGATGAGAGTAATCGCAAGTTGTAGTTGGTAGAGCCCCACACATTTTACATTGGGGTGGTAACAGAAGATTACTGAGCAGTTAGAACCTTCCACTGGAGAGCTCTCATGAGGTCCATGGTTTGCAGGGTATCAGCTCCTGCAAACCCTAATTCCTTGCCACCCAGTAACATGCATCTGCCTTCAGGCTTTACTACTAGTGGCAAAGTTCTGTTTAACATGAGGTAATTTCCTAGCATATTAGACACTATGTTAGTACATTTCTCGCCAGTTTATGCTCATGATTCTTAGTAATAAGACATTCTCCCATCTGATGCCACCCTAACATACACCACCTGGGGAACAGGACCTGCTGGGATTCCTGGAATGTCTGCCAGTCTCTCTCTCTGGCACTGGCTCAATGACTGGAATTTCTGTATCTGCCAATTCTGTTGTTACCACTACTTCTTCCAACACTTCCTCCTCTTCCTCCCTCCCCAGCCTCCCCACCTCCACCAGAGAACCTGAGAGTGGTACCCACAGCCACACCACTGGAGTACGATGTGGTGTGGAGTAAACCAGCCAGTGTCAACCCTTGTCCTGATGTGGTCTACCTGGTCACTGTCACCAACAACGTCACTGGAGAAGTGGAAGTCAACGTTAGTTCCTCTCTCAACTCACCCTCTCTGTGTGTGTGTGGAGCCCCACTCCTCCCTCTCTATTCCTCAGGCAGAAGGAGCTATCACAGAGTCAATCCCCTTCAATGACACAGACTCAGTCATGTGTCAGCTCCACCAGTTTGAGGTGAAGACATCGGTCGGAGAGGCCTTCAGCTCCCCTACCATTGAGAGAGTGGCCCTACCTCTTAGTGAGTCACGACCACACCCCACTGACCACACCCACATTCCATGTGTTCCTTTGTGTGCAGGTCCTAATGTTGAGGGAATAAATGCAAGTGCCACACCCATTCTTGGAGAAGATGAAATTCTGATAGAGTTGGCTTTGAGGGTGAGTGCCTGTTATAATTGTGACCCTGGACTCTCTTCTCCGTCTGCCCCAGCCTGCCACCACATGTGATGAGGTAGCCTACCCGATACTAAACTACATGATCACCATTCCTGAGCTCCCTTTCTCCATGACCCTCCCCCACACTGGGGAGGGTGTGGCCCTCAACCTCTCGTCACCTGATTTCACCATTGCCAACTACTCCATCATCATCAGTGCCTGTGCCAGTTTTGGATGTCGCTCAGCTGACCCTCTGACACTCTGTTAGTCTCCCTCTCTCATGTCGTCCCCCTTTTACTCCACAACTGTTGACAGTTTACTTATGGCATTGAAAATGAGAATTTTTAGGGAGTAAACTGTGTTCCTGCCTAACAGTTGACAGTTGTGCTGAGCAACTTAGACTCTGACTATGTCGTTTGCGCACGGTGTCGTCACTATACAGTACCTCTCTTTTCTTCCACTTTTTCTTATCTCTCAATCCACCCCTCCCCCAAGTGACCAATGAAGTCCAGAGTGCCAGTATGCTGTTCCTGAACACTACAGTTTCCTTGACATGTGAGTTCACAGCCACTGGGTCAGCCAGTGCCTGCAGGTTCACTCTGACCCTGGCCTCTGGAGACAGCGAGAGTCTCGACATTCCTCGACCTGAGGGAGGGGGACTGGTCCAGATGTGTTCCACCACTCCAGCATACCGGTCATTCCCTCTTCGTCTCTTACCTCCATCACGTTTTCCTTTCTTTCGCCATTCTATCGTAATTCTACTCTACACTGGAGAGCACTCTATGAAGAGATGACTCCAGCATTCCTCGCCTATGTCACTGTATTTGATGCTCACAGTTATCATCTCCTCCTGTCCTATTCGTATCCTCTCTTCTGCCTGCTCTACAGCTTGTGACCGCTACATGTGAGACTATCACATGTGAACTTCCACCTCCTCTGCTCCCACCCTCTCATAGGGAGGTGCCTTCATACATCAGTGGTGGTTCAGACCATCAACAGTGGCGGAGTAGCTGAAGGTCTGAGACTAGAACCAGTGGTCACTGAGATTCAGGATCTACAGGAGATTGCTCCCTTGAACCACCTCTTCTGGTTTATTTACTTTTGCCTTGTTGTGCCCTCTATCTCCTAATTACTACACCAGTGGTATGTAAATTGGTTGTGCTTTTAACCTCTTATACACTTTGACACATGTGCATAATGGAGTTTTCCTCTTCCAGAGTATGACTGACCGTTGTGGAGAAAGCAACTACTCTCCAATGGTGGCTCCACACACCCCATCCTAGTAGTCACTGCAGAGTATGCAGGTTAGCATTCCTTCCTGCCTTAGTGATCACAGATACCACACATCCTCACCGGGAACATGCCAATTACCCCCCAATAGTCATTCCCACCCCCCATCCACCTCTGCAGCTGAGATAGCAGCCATCATCATAGTAGTTTTTTTTTTTTCTAGTGCTGTTCATTCTTCCTGGTCCTGACTATCGGTGGCTGTCTTGTGGAAGAGACAGACTGTAGGTCACT